CGACTCAGATTATTTCCTGGTTGTTATGGGGTTACACAAATAATCAACACTCAACCTGTTCTTACTTTCCTTGATGATGGGCGCACTGATACGCCATATTCAAGAGGAGGTGCCTTGGTGTAATTTATTTGTTGATGACATAGTACTGATAGATGAGACACAATGCAGTGTTAACGACAGGCTGGAAGTTCGGAGACAGGTCCTTGAGTTTAAGGGTTTCAAGTTGAGTAGGATTAAGACGGAATACCTGGAGTACAAGTTCAGCGCGGAGCCGAGGGAAGCAGGCATGGAAGTGAGGCTTGAATCACAGGTCATCCCCAAGAGTGGCAAATTCAAGTACATTGGATCGTTTATCCTGGAAGGTGGGGAGATCGACGAGGATATGGCACACCGTATAGGGATTGGGTGGATGAAATGAAGATTAGCATCTGGAGTCCTGTGTGACATGAAATGCCACAGATACTAAGGTGAATTTTATAGAGTGGTGGTTAGACTAACCATGTTGTATAGGGCTAAGAGTTGGCGAGTTAAGAACTCACATATCCAGAAGATGAAAGTAGTAGAAATAAGGATGTTGAGGTGGATGTGCGGGCACACTAGGATGAATAATATTAGGAATGAAGATATTCGGGAGAAGGTGGGCGTGGCGCCAATGGATGCCAAGATGCGGGAAGCGAGGCTCAGATGGTCAGGTACGGAGGAGAAGCCCAGATGTCCTGACAAAGATGTGTGAGCGGTTGGTTTTGGCTGGTACGAGAAGAGGTAAAGGCGTCCTAAGAAGTATTGGGGAGAGATGATCAGACACGACATAACGTGACTTCAGATTTTTGAGGACGTGGTCCTTGATAGGAATGTGTGGAGGTCGCGCATTAGGGTTGTAGGTTATGAGATAGTTGAGCATTTTTACTATTTCGTACCGGTGTGATGCTAGTCTGATAGGTTTTTGTCTTCGATTGCTAGTGGTTAATGTTGTGCTCATACTATTCTCTTATTTTTATTGTGTCGGGCCTTATTTACTGGTTATTATTATTACTTTTCATCTATTTTCTAGTTTTTATGTCGCTGTCATTATTTCTTGGTTTTCTGTTAATGGTACTGATATAGTGTTTCTTTTCGTCTTCTTGAGCCGATGGTCTTTCGAAAACAACCTCTCTATCTCTGGATATGAGTAAGGTCTGCGTACACACTACCCTCCCAAGACTCTGCTTGTGGAATTCTACTATATTTTTTGAGTACGAGATTTAGATTGACCAATATCTTGTGTGAATTCAAATATAGAATTTTCAACCCCCTTTGGAAGAACTATTGCTGAAGCCTTGCTGGTTTAGGAAGTTGGATTAGTCCTATTGTAGTTGCGCAAGAACTTGATTGTACTTCGCATCGTTGTAAAATTATAATTACTGGTCCAGCGCTTTAAGTTAGCATTCCAGATCTATTATGAGTCATTATATTGTGTAACTTCTTATATGACCATTTAATCAATGTTCTTATATTGTCTCTCTCGCACAACTTGACATAGTGGTCCCCACTGCTCTTGAATGAACTAGTGGCATAAAATTAAATTTTATTACAGGCCAACTTACATATATATATATATATATACTAGTAAAGGATGGCCCATGAGCATGGCCCAAGCACTATATTGCATATTGAGGTCTTTTTCTAAATTCCTGTATAAATAGCGGATTGGATTCATAATTTACTTTTTTTATCGGCATAAACAGATATACACAATTATATATATATATATATATATATATATATATATACACGCACATCCACCGGTATCTAATGTACCTCAGAGTTATAGAATATACTTCTCTTTTATTTAATTTGCAAATGCACAATAAAAATTCCTTTCTTTTAATGTAATATTTAGAATGTAATTTTTGATAATTTTCTTGAACTCTAATATGACCTCTAGCATATGCACGATTTTTTATTTATAAAGATCAAATATTAGATAACCCACTATTTGTAACAACAGATATTTCGTTTGCAAGAACAAATATTATATGCTACAATTATCGTTGTATCATGAAATAAACTATACAACAACAACAACAAGTTCAGTATTTTCTTACAAGTGGGTTAATTTAAAATTAAAAAAAAAATCATCTTTGAACTATTACGGTTGATCGTAACTTTATATTGAAATGTTAAAATTATGTTTTTTAAAATAAATTTTCATTTTAAACAAATGGAAATCAATTTGCAACTCTAAATTCCACTAAAATTGAGTCATTTCCATTTTAATATGTAACGATAGATTTAGTCTTTTGTTTTTGTGTAGATGGATTTTAGCCTTTCCTATGGGTTCAACTGTGTATAGCATTATTATATAATTTGTTATAAAATCTTGTCTCTTCTTTTATTTATTTAAAGTAGTGGTATATATAGAAAGATTGCATGTCCAATTTACAAGTAAAATAGAAAAACTTGAATTCTTGAGTAGAGTATCCCTACATTTTTTTGAAAACATAAAACTATGAAGAACACTAGTCCGTCAAAAAGTAGAATTATAGGTATTGTGGGAAAGAGAGAAAAATGTCAGTTGTCTCTGTAACACCATATCTATTGCCTTTCGGAATATAATTTGTGCTCAAACTTTGCCAAAATTACCAAACACATACAAGCAACTATCTAGAGCAAATATCATTTATAGCCTATCAGGCCAAAAATATATCATCTGATAGCCACAAATTGACCCATACAATTCATAACCTAAAAACAATAACAACTGGTAGTCGTCGCCTCCCATCCCTATCTTTCTTCCTTACTATCTTTCTTCTTCTCTCTCACGCCATCAACCCATGGTTGTGGTTCCATGGACACTTTTCTCTTTCTCTCTCTCTCTCTCTCTCTCTCTCTCTTTAAAAAGCCTCTTTGGTTTCTCTCGTTGTTATTTCAAAAGTATCGATGGAAACTTCATCTAGGCTGAACGGTTTGACATGACTTTTGACACCATAGGTATCGATTCATCGGTCGATGAGGTACTCTCTGAGGTTCAATCTACTGCTGTCAACCCTCTTTTCTTGAAGAATAGATCTCTTGAGAAGACCAGAGGTTTCATCTCCACCTTCAAGAACTCAGTCTATCTGTACGGATCAAACTACAAGCAATATCACAAAGTGAAAACAGGAAAGAAGAGAAAATAGTCTAGTCAGGGAATAGAAGACGAGGAAGCTGGTACGGAATCTTCACCCGTGATTTTAGTGGTGACATTCGCAGCTGGTTTTTCTTTGCCATCAGATGATGAAGTTATCCGAATATATAACAAGTTTGGGGATCTGAATGAGATTCAAACAGAAGTGTTACATGATTCAAACAGAAGTGTTAGACTGTCACTTTCAAAAGCATATGCTGGCGCTTTGTGCATACATGCCTCAAGTGTTATATTCCTGAATTGAGAAAAATAACGAGTTAGGATTTGTTTTCAGGTCGAGTGTTCAGGAGATGAATATATGTAGTTTTATCTGTAATAGAAGAGATGACAACAACAACAATGATTAATAGTATAGACTATCATTATACAATTTATATACAATAGATATTCAAAATCATTATATAGAAAATATACAAAATAAACTATCAATATACAAAATAGATAGTCACTATACAAAAATATACAAAATAAACTATCAATATACAAAATAGATAGTCACTATACAAAAATATACAAAATAAACTGTTACTATACAAAAGATATACAAAATAGATAGTCATTATACAAAAATATACAAAATAGACTGTTACTATACAAAACTAATATACAAAATAGACCGTAACTATACAAAATAGACTGTTACTATACAAAAAATATACAAAATAGACTATTACTATACAAAAACTATACAAAATAGACTATTACTATACAAAAACTATACAAAATAGACTGTCACTATACAAAATAGACTGTTATTATACAAAAAATATACAAAATAGACTGTCATTCAATTTTTAGCTAATATTATTAGATCCAGAAGTACAAAATACAATTTAAAAAGGCAAAAAAGGGTTTCTTTATCGCACCAGGTAGGGGTCGAACCTGCGACCTTCAGCTTAGGAAATACACGCCCTATCCACTGAGCTACAAGCACTTGTGTTGTCATGCTTATTCCTTTCGGCTACTATATCCAATATATTTGGGTCGAAGGGCCATTTTTTGTAAGTGGTACAAAATATGGGCTATTAAAATTTTGATGGGCTATAGAGGGTAATTTTCTCAACTATCTATCTATATCTATCTATCTATATCTATATTATTATAAAAGCACAAATAATAAATGCTAATTATTGAACGACTAAAATATCCCTGAAACATTGATCGACTTTTATGCCCTTAAATATTTGTATAATTTAAGGATCTAATAGTAAATTACCTAATAATAAAATTCTTTTTTCATTTAAACTATATATATTGCCGACCCTACAATGTCGATCCTACTTGAATAAGAAAAACACGTTCATATTTTCTATCAAAAAGAATTGATGTTCCTAATTACAATTCTCTATAACAAACAAGACACGTACTAAGATAAATTTTAGTACTTTGCTCTAAAGACATTTATAATATTTTAAACAAATTGAAAAATTCTTACTATCCTTTAAAATTATAATTTTTATTAGTTCATATAAATCTAAAACTAAATTATATGATATATTATGTGTTCCTAAATATGAGGAGTTATTACATAATAAATCGAGTTAATTTTTATAATATTAAATAATAAAAATATTATTAAATGATAATCTTTTAAAATATAAATTTATTTTTAAATGATAAAAAAATATAGAGGCAAGTTTATATGAATATTTTCGTTTACATGACAATAAAGTGGTTCTAATAATACAAATGAGATTGTTCTCTTTAATTTATTTATTTTTTACTTCAGTATGAGCAACTGATTCCTTTGCAAATTTCTCAAAGAAAATCGATGGATATATGTTAGATTAGGTTTCCTAGAATAAGTTCGTCCAAGTCTTCTATATGTCGAAGTTTAACAAAAAATTTCTTTAATTGGTTTATTTTTATTAGATGTCCATGTGTCATGAATTGTCTCCAATTCAATGTTACACCAATTTACATTCAAATAAAAAGCAAAATACTTTAGAATTTTATTATTAATATATTAAGCGTGATGATTGGTTAATAACAGTTTAAAGTAAGTGAAACACAATAATTGGATCAGCTATGTTACAAAAGAAAAAATATATTACGATGTTCATATAGAATGTGAAAATCAATATAGGAAGCTTGTATAATATAAGGTATTGATTTTTTCCTTGTATATTGTTCTGAAGATATTGAGTTTATGAATTTAAGTTTTGTTTTTTTTAAAAAAATATCTATCTTTTATTGAACTTTTGGCTCGCTATATACATCAGAAATATAAGAGAATAACTTAATAACCAAAAGGGTAAAGTTACACGGCCACCTTTATAAGATCATTGCTAAGCGGCATATTTTGAGACATGCCATGAAAAATGTCTATATATTGTTTAAAGTTAGATATTAAGTTGATTTTTAATATAAACTTGGATTTTTCTGTTTTTATTTAGAAAGACAAATAAAAATATCATGAAAAAAAAATTTGACATAGAAGAAGACTTGACAAAGAAGAGCAAAATGACGTTATCTGTCTAAAATCATCGCTTGGTTGACAATTACGTTATCTTTCTAAAGTCGTCTTAATTAACACAATTTTGAGACATGACGGGAACAATGTATATTATTTAAAGTTAGAGCAAAAGGTTGATCTTTACTATAAAGCCGGAGGAAGAAAATATTTTTTATCTTATCTTTTAATAATTAGCGAGAGATATACGTGCAAGGCACATACATAGAAACTAGTATATTATTATATTAAAAGCACGAAGGCCTTTAGCGAAATGTTGTTCGCCTTTTTTACCCTTAAAAATATATTTTATATTGGACAAAATTGTAATTTAAACTAATATCCTACTATTTAAAATTTTGAAATCAACTAAAATCTTAATTAGTAAGTATTCCCTTATTTGAACTAGAAAAAAGGTACTAATATTACACTACTAGAAATCCGGTAAAAAGCGACCAGAAAAAGCGACCAAAGTTGGTCGCTTATAGGCCTAAAAGCGACCAAAAAGCGACCAAACATGCCTAGTCGCAATATTGCTGGTCCCTTTATTTTAGGGACCAAAGTTGGTCGCTAATTAGCGACCAACTTTGGTCTCTAAGGTAAAAGGACCAAATATTCTGATTTTTACTTTAGTGACCAACTTTGGTCGCTATATTAATTTAATAATATAAATTTGGCGACCAAAGTTGGTCTCTACATATGAAATACGTTGTTTTTAATTTATCATTAATCATTAGAAAGCGACCAACTTTGGTCTCTAATCCAAATATTATATTTTAAAATCTGGATAATAAAGACCAAAGTTGGTCGCTAAATTCAAGAATTTATTTTTTTTTTAAAGATAAGCGACCAACATTGGTCGCTATATTTTCAGAAATTGTATTTTTTTTAATAGAAATCTGGGCAGTTAGCGACCAAGGTTGGTCGCTATTGCCCGGAAAATTATTTTTTTTATAGTGAAATGCGACCAAATAGAGACCAAAGTTGGTCGCTTTTCTTG